CACAAAACCTGAGATCGTATGCGTTTGAATATTTCTTTTGTATTGTTCATCTATTTTGTATAAAACAAATAATTTCTCATTTACAATTATATTATTAAACTTTTGAAAGCCTTCTCCAAAAATGTTGTATACTTTAAATTTTCAAATGAACTTATTTCGGACACTTGTTAATAAAGTTGAGAATGGAAATGGGGAATGTGTCAAAGAGACAACAACCCGACCATAGAACAGACAACAGCAGAAGGTCACCAACAGGTCTTCAATGCAGCGAGAAATTCCCGCACCCGGAGGCGTCCTTCAGCTGGCCCCCAAACAAATATATATACTAGTTCAGTGATAATGAACGCCGTACTAAACTCCAAATTGTACAAAAGAAACTTAAATTAAAAATAATACAAGACTAACAAAGGCTAGAGGCTCCTGACTTTGGACAGGCGCAAAAATGCGGCGGGGTTAAACATGTTTATGAGATCTCAACCCTCCCCCTATACCTCTAGCCAATGTAGAAAAGTAAACGCATAACAATACGCACATTAAAATTCAGTTCAAGAGAAGTCCGAGTCTGATGTCAGAAGATGTAACCAAAGAAAATTAACAAAATGACAATAATACATAAATAACAACAAACTACTAGCAGTTAACTGACATGCCAGCTCCAGACTTCAATTAAACTGATTGAGAGATTATGTCTTCATCATATGAATATCAGGCACAATCCTTCCCGTTAGGGGTTTAGTACCATACCATCATAACATATATGAGAAGAACATAACCCGTGTCATGCCAACAACTGGTTTTTAAATAAATGTGTTTAGCGCCGATGCAAAGACCCTATAAGTGAATCAATATTAACGCCAAAATATGCAATCTTTAATGACCTGACAACAGTCTCGTAACTATATCCCTTCTTAATAAGTCTATTTAAAGGTTTTGTTAGCTTCAGAGGTGAAAACTGACATTTTTGTGCTTTATAAAGAATATTTCCATAAAAAATTGGATGTGAAATACCTGAACGTATAAGAAGTCTGCATGTTGAGCTATATTTACGAATGATGTCCTTATACCGATGATAAAATTTAGTAAATGTTTTGACTAGTTTGTGATATCGAAAACCCTGGTGTAATAATTTTTCAGTAATACATAAATTTATCTCGTTAAAATCTAAAACATTGTTACATACACGAGCGAATCGTACAAGTTGAGATATATCAACACCGTAAGATGGTGACAAGGGAACGTCACCATCTAAAAATGGATAATTAACGATAGGAAATGAAAAATATATTAATAACTTTTACAAACTTTACCACCAAATGTTTTGATCTTTGATAAGATTATTACAAATTGTTGTCTTGAATTTACAACATCATGAGATTAATTGTCTAAGTTAGAGGTTTCCTTAAATTTAATTTATATCATTACTGAGGTGAAGAACACTTCAAAGAGTAGTCTACATCGCAGCTGGTTGATCAATTACTTTTATTGTTTTTGTGGTTTTGATTTAATAGCAGCGCAAAATTTGGAATTTATTATCTTAGACTGTAACCTTACTAATTAGTATGATTTTGTTTTTCGAAAGAGACATATCGAAGTTTTCTGTTAAGTAATGTGAACAGTTGTACAAGGAATAGTATGCATAAATTATAAATATTAAACGTAGATTAGAGAAAATTCGTTTTTTTTTTTTTGGGTTGTTTTGTTAGTAACCATATCGATTATGGACATAATGTTTATGGTAAAACATTGTCGGCGAACTCCAAGTCTCAAACCGTCAAACTTCATGTCGAAATTTATATCGAACTTTATATCAAACTGTATGCTACTGCAATCATATCTCCGCAACAGATATCTATAATCATTTTATTGAGCACCACTGAAAACATAAAACAAAGTATAATACCAACTTTATAATGCAAATATACTCTATGAATGTTGTGTTGTTTCTGTCTCGTGCCAATATGTCCACCAATCTGTCCAATCTGTCCAGTTGAGCGATATCTAACTGGTGGGTAAAGTTTTTCTTTAATGTTGTGATGTTAGAACAATGCCCCAGGTAAGAGGCACTCTAAATTCTCAATGAATTAAAACGATTTTTTTATCCAAAATCAATTTTGTATTTTTTCTCCACTTACGTCATACACCAAGAGGAGAAGTCAAAGCTTATTTATGTAGTAAAATTTTTCGCTAATAACAAAATTGTGAAATCGACTCAATTAATGACTAAATAACAGTGATAATTCATGCATGCGCCACAAACGTTCATGCATTCATGTGCCACTCGTTTGTTTTTTTTTTATAAGTTCTAATTCTTGGATTTGCATACCAATAATCACATTGGAAAGCTATTATGATAATGTTTTACGACTATTTTGATGATGATACTATAACTAAAGTGAAGAACGATCATTATCGCTTTCTGTTTGATATGACACTACTATAAAACTCAAAGCCGTGTATACTTTGTTACATAAACTAAACATGCAAATATGGCATGCCATTTTGTAGAACAAATAAATCTGAACTCTCCAAACGATTATTAAATCATCTATACTTCTTGACCTAAGTAATTCAAAAGTTATTTCAACCGATATTAAGCAATCACAGATATAATTAATATTAAATCAAATTCTAGACACCCAAATACGTCGAGGAACGGTCAGGACAAACACATGTGATTTAACAATTTTAAGATTTTCGACAGTGAGGTGAACGTATATAACGATTCCTCTATCGATATGATGTATATTGTAAACACAAGACATTGCAATTATAGGTCTTGTAGTAAACGCTTCAGCCGTAATAAAATAATTCAACAGTAAACTAATTTTACACTGTATGATTTTTAAATCTTTTCTCATGAAGGATGGTTACCATCAACTATTTAAAATTTTAAGTTTGACGCAGATATGACAAAAAGTACAAATTTCATAAACGTGTGTTTCTTCTGTCAAAGACGCATCAGTGAAACTTAAATTAAACAAGTTAAAATGCCCCAAAAAAATACGTAGCTTAAACGCAACAATGACCAAAATTTCGGAAGGTTTTGCTTTGTTTTTCATAGATGCTTGTTGACTGTTCACGAATAAAGCACTATAATTTAACATTACCTTTCTGTACAAAGAGACGAATAAAGCATAGTTTTGAATTCAGATCGCAATCTGTTTTAATTTGATTTCAATAAGTTTCGTTTTTATTAGTTAAGAGACATCAGAAAGAAATATGCTATAAATTCATTACATAATATTAAGACGAAAACAATAACATACAATTAGAACAGCTTATATATTAGATACAGCACTGTTTCAAAACTTAAGCACAGGTCTTAGAACACTGGGTCCTGTACATGTATAAATGAATGAATACAGTGTACTTTATTATAAAAAGCATTTCATATGCTACAGCAACGACTACTAAAAGATTTGCTTAAACGTAATTCTCTAGCCATACCTTCATGATTTCAGGTTATCTGCTATCAAATAACAAATTACGGCATGTAATAAGTGACAGTTAACCTTGCTGCTTTAACTATACTATGCTAGTACTGGTTATGGTCTATGTTAAAGGTCAATTTTAAAACTGAAAAGGCTTTATAAAGTAAAAGTTCTTTTATGATGAACTGAAGGTCCTCTTAGTTTTACATTTGTGTGTGGAATGGTAAGCTTTAAGACATTTGCTACCATTCTTTTCTTTAACATGTTTAACAATAGAAGGGGTTTTTGTCGCAATCAAACTTGAAAGTGTTATTGTTTCGCCATTTCAAACTTGAATTCTGATCTTTATTGTATTTCATTCCAATTTTCTATCAAATTCATTTTAATCATCTTTGGACACATTTATGACCGTATATTGTTGCAATAACTGAAATGATTCCTGATTCACATAAGTACACATGTATTAAAGACAACTGAGATTTGTATATGCATCATGATTGATATGGTTGTTTAATAACTTAAAGTACTAATTGATTTTACTCTGTGTTTAATTTTTTTTTTTATGAATATGTATCATAAAAGATAAGAACTTGATATCCACAACTGTATATTTAAATTATGTTGCGAAAACAAAATTCATTATTCAGTTCTTAAAATGTTGCAATTTTAATTATAAAACTTCATTGAATATTGTATTGTTCATCATTTATATATTTCAAGCAATGTAATCAATTATCTATGTTCAAAACATTGCCTTTCTAATGGGGAATAATGTACAGTAAGTAATAAAAGCATGTTTGTGCTGGACATGTTAGAGGATTATGTTCAAATTATCATGCACTAGGTCATTATATATTTTCATATTTCTATTTGGACAAAAACTTTTAAAGCGACAAACATAAGCTTTTTAAGACTTTTCCTGAACAGATGGTTTCGTAGTCCAAGCAACAAATAGAAATCGTATGCACCTAAAATCATCTCTCCTTGAACAAAAGTACTTCCCCCAATACAAAAATATATACTCCTTTTCAAGTGACACCACCAGTTGCCTATATTTGATTGTGTTTATGAAAAGAGAAAAACATATATCTTGCTTAATAGATCAAATCCATTAAATTTTGTCCTTTTAACTGAGTTCTTACTCCCAATTATGTATAATCAAGTGGTTGTGCATGACGATTAACAAACTTTAAAATGATGTAAATAATTTACATGCGTTTAAAAGCAATTATTTGTAAATGTTATATGCTTTGGACCATGCATACTAACTTTGCTTAGTACAGGAAAAACCATGCCATAGAAGAATTGTCTGTCATAAAAGATGTGATGGAAGTTTTGATGAAAGGCTTTGCGTTCATAATTTTTGTAACTTTGTTCAATCAATATAGATGTTTATTGGAGGAATTTTGTGACCAAGATGACATCGAGTGCCACTTTCCCAACAATATAGATGGTATTGGGTATCTGCAACATGACAGAAGTCAGCAATCTAATATACTTCGTCGATTGCAACAGCTCAGTTTGTTAGAATGTGTAAGGGAATGCTTTTTGACATCATGGTGCGTAGCTATGAATTATAGAAAGAATCGGAAGTTATGCGATTTACTTGGTCATCTTACTGCTGGGGAAAATCTGCAGATCGAAGCAGGAAGTATCTATACTAAAAGATCATCCTGGTCTAAGGTAAGGTTTCATGTTCTTTAAAATGTATCTTGATCTGATATTATATATCATTTTTGATTCAATTATGCAAAGATTTAACAAAAAGTAAATTATTCGAATGACAATTTGTTGTCATTTATATAAAAGGATCAAATTATTTATGTATGATATATCCATTACCCAATTCAAGATTCTAGATTCAGAAGAGAAAACTATCAAAATTGCTTGAATAATACATATATTCTAAAACACTCCCGCGTGTCTGTGAATAAATAATGATATCTACGTCTTTTTTTTAGGCTGGATTTTAAGTATTCGTATTGTCATCTGGTTAAGTCATGAGGATTATAAGGTGCACAGTATTCTCTGCTCTCAAAATTTTTCTTTTTGAACCCGTTCTGGTTTTCTTTCTACAACTGGAAACTACATGTGACACGTTTGTTGGTGTGTGGTATGAGATTTCAGAAGGTGCGGTGTGTATATTTGTTTATAGCACATTTGTCATGTAAGTGTGGACCGATAGAGAACGGCGATTTATACCTGTAGAAAGCGATATATACTATTGATATCGGTATTTGATTCAACAAGGAACTTGTTAATAATGGTAATATTAATTATAAGGAAAACAAAAGAGCCTGGACTGGTGGAATTTTTAATCAACACCATTGTTCTATATTCGTTATATATAAAGTTGAATTCTTTGCTTCTTCGATTTTATGTCATGCCGGCTTACAAATCGGACCTCGTTATTTTAGTAGTATAGATATTCGCCTGAAAAATATCAAATTTGTTATGTGAAATATCATTACCTTCGTAATTGATTTATTTGTATATTTGTTTATCTTTGTTAAGTCTCTAGCCGGATCATGTGCAGACCACACTTGTTTTGCCGGAGAAAAATGTTCAAAACTAAGAACTGGTGGAAATATCTGTACATCTGTCTGTAAGTGAAAAAAAACACCAAACAATTCATACACTTCTATTTTTCAAGAATTTTATGCTCCATTCCCCTTGAAAGTTTTAGTTCGTTTATTTTTCTAAAGGAAGTTCATGTTTTGATACAATACTATCTCAGTCTGAAAGAAGATTTATAATAAAAAGATTTTTATGCGCGTTGATTTGAAAGAAATATTTGGATACTGATGTCATAATTTAAAAAAGAATTATTTGAACTTTCTATCAATCTCCAACTTTTTTATGTTCATTTTCAGATTGTAAGGATCCTGTCCCGATAACAGATCGATCTGTTTGCATTGAAACGTTTGGATTATATAGAAATCTGAAAGCTGGGAATCAATTTGAATGTAAACCAGGATATTTTATGATAGGACGTCCCTTCATAGTATGTAATGAGAAGGGGAAATGGAATAAGATGTTCTCATGCACAGACAACAGTAAGCTGCTAGCGCTTAATTGAAAATAGTAAAAATGTATGCTAAAATAAAATAAAAAAGGGATGAAAGTAAATCGTTTGCTGTTGAAATGCATTTCACTTCTAGTATACTAAACAGATTTCAGGTGTTCTTTTTAATATGAATACAAGGCTTAAATAACATATGTCTAAATTATTTACTAGAAATACCAAGTGCATGTCATAGAACAAGCAAGAGGAAAGATATATGTCAGTCTATGTATAAGTAAATAACTATAAAACTGGTATATCAGCGTGTGTCCTTGATCATAATAGGAAATAACTTTGTGTCAATTGGATAAAAGAGATCGGGATATGAAGCATAGGAATACATTACATGCAAGCACAGTTTTGGCCGTTGTATCCTTGTTAATATCGTGTTTGCCAATTATGTCTGTTCCGATTGCTCACTCAATTTTGTCAATATAGCATGTATAACAGAACTATAGACAGATGTCATATAACTGGGATCTTAAGCTAGCTATAAAATCAAGTTTCGTCAGAAAAATGCCTGTACCAAGTCAGGAATAATAGAGTTGTTTTCCATTTCTTCTGTTGGTTGATATAGTCGATCGTTTGATCTTGTCAGGTTTTATGAACTTTTACCTTTCTAAAATTTACCTTTGAGTTCAACATTCTAATTAATACCTTTTTAAATATAGGTTTATAAGCAACAGATCAGTATTTACATATCTGAACGTGAAACTAATGATATTGGCTAAATGATTGTATTAAGTATATAGACTGTCTTGTAAGTTTTTTTTTTTTAATTTTAGTTCATTTGTATGTTTTTGAGTTCATTTTCGTGGAACTAGTATAAATTACTGTTAAGGTGCCAGCTGACGCCCCCTCCGGTTGCAGTATTTTCTCACTGTGCTGAAGACCCATTGGTGGTCTTGGGCTGTTTTTTGCTCTTTGGTCGGGTTTTTGTCTCTTTGAAACATTCCCCGTTTCTGTTCTCAATTTGATGTTATTCATTCGTTGTAATAAGTTTATTGGCAAGTACCGAAAGCTGGTTAATTTTCAAAAGCACAAATATAACGTTATCTATTAAAATCGCATGACAAGAACAACTCAGCAGTATGTCTTATTTTTTCTTGTTTTACAAAAATATAAATCATTCTGAAAATCAGCAAAAAAATAAATATGTTTTACAGGATTTGTTCCACGTGACTGTAGCGACTTTCCACAGGAAAGTGTATCAGGAGTATACACAATTTATCCAAAAGATACAAAATTCGATGTTTACTGTGACATGGAAACAGCAGGATTTGGATGGACGGTAAGTTAAGTGAAGATGTAACTTACTATTGTTGTAGGTACACATAACAAATATGGTATTCTCTTCAACTTCGTACTTTATTTGGTCTTTTTATCTTTTTTATTCGAGCGTCGAAGATGAGTCTTTTGTAGACGAAACACGCGTCTGATGTACAAAATTGTAATCAAGGCATCTAGGCATGATGAGTTATTGATACAATGCTTGAAGTTTACTGTGACATGGGTACAGCAGGATGATATTGTAACAAAAATTTTAACTTATTTTGAATCATTGTTTATGATGCGAGAAGAATGATATATGAATTTAACTAGACCATAACGTATAAATATTCCGATTTCCCGTATTCAATTATTTATTTAAATATTAATGAATTAATTATTCAATTGATTGATTGGTTGATTTATTTATTTTTTATAAGTATTAATTTATTGATCATTGTTATTTGTTTATTTATTTATTCATGTATATATGTATTTATTTATTTATTTATTTATTTATCTATTCCTTCCTTTTTTTAATTGATCATTTATCTATTGATTTATTCATTTTCACATTAGTTTATTTATTTATTCGTTTATTTATTTTTTTATTGATTCGTTCATTTATTTATCTATTTATTTATTTATTTGTTTATTTATTATTATTATTACTTTTATTATTATTATTATTATTATTATTATTATTATTATTATTATTATTATTCTTTTTTTAACTGTTATCATGGTTATCATTACTAAAAAGAACAGGATACTTAATTATGAGATTAGTGGTAAAAGAACTTTTGATTTGTTCTGATTTTTTCCCCGCCGAATCTTTTATTTTACATTTCTTTTACAAAAAGGGGGACGAAGATTACAAGTCAATGTCATTTTCTAATTTAAGAATTTTGCCTCTTATCGATTCTCCTAACAAACCGTATAAGATATTGACAAAATATTTTTACTCAATTGTTAGTTGCGCTATTTAGGTCGAAAGGGTATTTTGACAGTACATAGGATTATTCTATATTGTTATTTTGTACGTTCTTCTTTTATGAATTTTTAAATAAAAAAACCATATTCACCTAAAGAAAAGTTATGTTCACCGCGCTGAACATCACGCGCTTTTACATGTAACGTTATGGTAAAATGTTTGATATACAATTGGTTGTGGTAAATATTTGACATCAAATACATTGTTTTCTCTCGGAAAATGAGAACAATAACCTTTGTTTCGGTAAATATGTGGTTTTTCACAATACCAGTCCAAACAATTATCATGACAATGACGGTATTGAAAGGCGTATTTATAATTATTTGGACTACCAACGATAAGACATAACAAATCATCTAACGGAAACCACAACATAAACACCAAAAATTAACACATGAATGTTGGATGTACAAAATACCGAGACACGTCGTATAGCAATGCAAATTCACACTCGGTAAAACAGTCATATTCTGGAATAGTCATGGTCGGTACTTAGCAGACAGACGACATAAATGTTAAACCACAATCAAAGACGTGGTAAAAATGTCATTAGTTAGTTTAGACACAGGCACATCGTATAGATCAACCAATTCGTGATAGTATCCATAAAATTTACGGAGTGTCATTTTTAACCTTTCTTCCTCATAACTCTGTAGGAGGAGTTTCTGCGTAAGGAGCACACTCCTGTATATGAAGTCCGTATAGTGTGAACATGCACGAGCATAACGTATCAATTGAGACTGTGCAGAGGGTATGTTATTGCTGAGAAATGGAAAATTGATAATTGGGAAGTTGAAATCATCCCGTTTGTCATAGATTTTAGTGTGAAATCGTCCATCTGTGTCGATATTGAGGAAAAGATCAAGGTATGAAGTAATCCTTCTTGTATCAGTAGTATCCTTAATTTCAAGTGATTGGGATATATGAGATGCAAATACTGACTGAAATATTGGTTATTAAGTGATAGGACAGCATCAATATATCTGAAATTAAAATTAAAGAATTTTGCAAGCTGCTTTTTCTTTTTGTCTTTCAGAAGGTTCTGAATGAATTCTGCTTAATACGAGTACAAAGTCGGCCAGAAGGGGTGCACAATTAGTACCCATTTGAATACCGACTGTCTGTTGAAATATCAATCCTCCAAACACAACAAATATATTGTCGATTAAAAAGTCCAGTATTTTGATGATATGATCTTCACTGTATTTTCTGATAGAATCAGTGTGGTTCTTTACAAAATAAGAATTATTATAACCCAAAACAAGAAATTTATATCTACGATTCCCATTTTTATAAAAAAAAAAAAAGCTCTGTTTAATGAGATGGTGAAGTCGATCTTTCAATTGAGCATAGGGAATAGTAGCGTAAAGCGTAGAAAAACTAAAGGTCTTGCAGCGATTGTGATCTAAGATTTAGAGGTAGATCTTTAGAATTTTTGAGAATCCACATCTGATTGAGACCACTGGTTCAATATATCTAATCATAATATTTTTGAAGGCCATCTTTTACTGTAAAAAGAATAATAGTCAACACTTTAGAAAGATGTTTAGTCGAACATCTTGATGACCCAGCTATGTATCGTTCTTTGTATGGAGTTTTGTGAAGTTTTGGTATCCAGTATAATGACGGTAGATTTTCTTCGTTTTCTTTGATGTTAATACCAAATGAAAGAAGGACAGATTTGTGATTTTGTAAAATTTCATCCTTTGTAAATGATGTTAAAGAATATGTAGGATTACCAGTTGTGCTGTTTATTCCAAGCTCTTTTGTGAGACATTGCCAATAATGGTTTTTACATACGAAGACAATATTAGTTGAGGCTTTATCTGCTGGAACAACCACATATTTGTCATGCAAAAAGTATAAAGCATCCACAACCTCCGAGTTCGTGAATGGATTAAAAACCCTTGTGCTCATCGAACATCGTAGTTTCTGAAATGTGCTTTTGAATTTATGATCAAATAGCTTTGTACCATTCAGACAAAGTGTCCAGTTCTGGTTCGTCTGGTTCGCGCTTTATCCATTTTCTATCATAGTCCTCAACTGCATCCATCAGTAACCTGAAGTTCTTTTTCCAGCTGAAACCGGACGTGCATTTTGAATATAAAGATTTTCAGTTGTTCTCCGAATAAGTGTTTTTTTATTATCAATATTATTATTGAAATGACAATATTAATTATTGTTTTCCCGATAGGATCAAGACTTCTGTTTATAGCTCAATAAGGAAAACACTAACCTTTTTTATCATTAACAACACAAGAAGTATGCATTATGCATATCTTGTTAATGCCAAAAACATAGATTCATCGCAGAAGTCAATCGTGTCTTGTAATGATCATTTCGCTTAAGTTTCGTGTGAAATTTTTTATTTTTACTCGATTTATCAACCTTTAATCACCACTTCGTTATGCATCTAAAGTTTGCGTGAATTATTTCTGCTTTTCCTCAAGTTATCCGCCTTTTCGCTATGCACCGAAACTTTCGTGATATTTTTTTTTTTTTTTTCGAGTTATCTGCTTTGATTTGTTAATACTTCAGATTTCAAGTTGAATACACTATACTTAATAGAGTGTCCGCATTGAAAATATATATATAACTGATCTGTTCTTCATTTGCCAATTAGAGATAACATTATTGATAATTATTATTTGGTTATCTTATAGGTTTTCCAAAGGAGAATAAATGGCACTATCGATTTTTACAAAGGATGGTCTGATTACGAGATTGGATTCGGAAATTTGAAATCAGAATTTTGGCTAGGTAGTTTTTATTTTTTTTATGATATTTTCAAAAAATCGAAACAAAGGACGCATTATGGTACGTCATTGTCCGTCTGCCTTCCATCTGTCGATAAATTTGTCCTCAACACTTCGTTAGAAAACTTAAATTTGCTGGTGTAGTTTTAACACAACATTGGAAATGACGGAGAAAGCTTTTTTCAATTAAATTTGGTTTCGCTTTGTCGTTCCAGAGTTACGGTCTTTAACCCTTTAAATAAGAGCAATCTTGTTTCACCGCGCAATTATGCTTGGATTGAAATCCTCAAAACTATACATTATTGTCAGGATTGATATAGAAAATATCCGTTTCGATCACGAGTTTCAGGACTTTGACTGTTATATTTAATAAACTTTTAAAGATGTTCGCTCCTCTTGTTTTTAACTTGTTGTTAGATATTCGGAATCCTCTGGTTTTATTTATGTACTGCCATTGAAAATTTTGCCCACAAACACCTACGTTTCTTTTAATAATTTCATAACATACAGTTTAAAAAGCCATATTTGAAGACCTTATTAAATCATTGTATTTTTTTCTTCGTTTTTGAAAGGAAAAAGGTGGTAATGTTAAATGTATGAAAAATCTAGAGAATCACTTCCCGCAAAATTTTTAATGACTTATATTACAAACAAGCAAACGAACCTTTTATTTTTGCTTTCTGCTTTTGTAGTTCCTTTATTCATATACTTTCAATTTCAACAGTTAAACATTAAAGCTTGATTTTGTAACAGAGTATCGAACATCCTTAACATTAAGCTTTATTGCCATTTTCCTAACTTTGAAATTAATCTTTTTGTGTGATAATTATCCATTATTAGCTAGGCTGATAATGTTATCTTTTCAGTCGTGTAGCACAAGATATTGCTTAAGAAAAAGAACGACCAAGTAGACGAAATATCTCAGCGACATCTCATCTTAGAACTATTTCTCTTCGATAAAATAGTAGCCGAGAATCTCCGTCTTGTTTTTAAAAACCTAGATAAGCAATAAAACAAAATCACTTTAATGAACTCAACGTAAACAGTGTAAAGTAGAAAAGTAGATATCAACAAGACCCGACAACTCTTTAAAAAGGAAAATGCACGTTTGAATCAAGGTGATACTTTTAAGACGCTGTCTGTTCATGTAAATTTGTTTCATTACTTTACATTTGTATCATAACACATTACATCGACATTAATTTTAATCTGCTACCCTTCTGCCTAATAATTTTCATCGCTAAAAAAGACTACAAATTGAATAGCTTAAACACAAGCATACATTGTGTAACAATGCATGGACACATTATCACAGCATCATTTACAATCTATATGAATCTTTTAGAATATGCTCAGCTGTTTGATCTAATTTGAATATTTAATTTTTCCCTTTTGAACAGGAAATAAGTTTATGAATCTTCTTACATCTACTGCAAAGTACAAGCTTTACATTCAACTTGAAGATTTTGAAGGGAATTCACGATACGCAGAGTACAGCGAATTCAGTATAGGAGATGCTGCAACAAATTATATTTTGAATGTCGATGGATATAGCGGAAATGCAGGTATAAATGAGAATTTTCACCTGATTCTTTCCGAAATAATACTAGTCCGCATTAATGCTACATTATCATTGCAACTTAGAGTGGGACAGTAGTTTGAAAAAATAATGAAACCCTGCGTCTACATATATTTCATCAGAATAAGTATGTAAAACTAAGTATGCCTTTTTAGATAATTTTTAGGATCTGCATGTACTTATGATGGGAGGTGTGTTTAACTAGAAATAAAAGTATGGTAACTTTTTTATGTTACATTTCTTCTTCTGTTTCATTGAAAGAAAACACGTTATTTTTTTAACAATGACAATTTCTTTGCACTATTATGGGAATCGGGATGGATCGTAAACATTACGGAATATCGATACAGAATCCGGTATTAATCTGTATTTTGGTTATCTTATCGTAAAGTTATCGGTAAATCAGTTATTTTAATGTTATGTGAGGTTTTGTAATTAGTTTTTTGTGGTTTTTTCAATTGATACGTCATAAGAAACTTTTGGAAATATATATGTTGTTCTTAAAATTAACATATGTAATGATCTTTATATTTTAATTGGTGAACTCAACAGAACAAAATAACATTTATCAATATAATACAAAACACTCACATTGGAGTCGGCAATTTCAAAAATGAAAAAAACACGTTATAAGTTGCATCACCAACAAATGTTTACAGACTGATACTTGAAAATCAAGGATGTATAAGAACTGAAACAGTTGAATAGCTATGTGACCAAACAGAGAAAAAAGCCAAATCCATCTAATGTTATTTTAACTTGTATTTTCTTATTATTTCATAATTTACAAACGAACAATTAAGAAAGGTCTGTTATAAATCATATCATACCATGGTACTGATAATAACTTCTGCCAGCAAAGTTATCGAGCCAGTGCTGTCATAAGCTTTTTTTCTAGATGAACCTTCATTAGGAACACTCAAAACCGAATATTTGAAAGCCAATGGTGTATAAGAACCGAAGGTGAAAGTCATTTTTTATCTCGATTATAAATACATGTATTGATTTTCATCTCAATTCTTAATGTGTGTTTAATAATATAAATCAATATTTGCGCTACATAGATGATGTTCTCTCACTAAAGGATTCAACATTAGATCACTATGTTGAACGCATCTATCCCATCGAACTTGAGATAAAGGATACAACAGATACAGTTAAGTCAGCCTCATATCTTGACGTACATCTAGAAAATTAATAATAATGGTCGATTGAAAACAAATTTTTACGACAAAAGATTTCAGTTTCCCAATGGTGAACTTTCCGTTTTTATAAAGCAACATTTAAGCGGTGCCTGCATACGGAGTATATATCTCCCAGTTGATACGATAGTCCAGGGCTTGTTTTTCCTCTCATGATTTCGTCTGAGGTTCGCTGCTCGCAAGGAAGCTATTGAACAAAGAATTTCAAGGAGTAAAGTTAACATCTTTCCTTCGTTAATTTTACGGACGCCATCACAAGTTGGTTGACAGTTACGGAATATCCTTTTCACAGATGTCAACGGATATGTTAAAATGTCATAACTGCAATCCCGTCCCTTTTTCCCGATTTTGACCTACCGAATTAGACTTCTCACCACATTTGTACTAACTTGAGCAACACGATGGGTGCCATATGTAGAGCAGGATATGCTTACCTTTCTGAAGCACCTGAACTCACCCCGAGTTTTTTGTGAGGTTGGAGTTGCTTAGTCTTTGATTTTTTATGTTGTGTTTGGTGTACTGTTGTTTGTGTATTTATCATTTTTCATTTTAAGGAATGGCGTTGTCAGTTTATTTTTTGACTCATGAGTTTGAATGTCTCTTTGGTATCCTTCGCCTCTCTTTTGTGACCAATGAGTCCTTTTTGGTAATATAGCTCTTCAACTTTTTCGGTTCTTATGCATCTTTGGCTTTCTTCAAATATTCGACTTTGATCGTTCCTGTTAAGGTAAATCAAGAAAAGTGCGTCGGACGCATGAGAATTGTTTCGTGTTGTTTTCATTTATTTTTCACTGTCGAAAACTTCTACAAACTTCGCTTGAATTAAATCTTAACCGTGTTCATTAAGTTTTGGATGACGTTAAAGAAAGTATGAATAGATTAGTATCACTACTTGAGTGTAATAATGGAAAATATAAGTACATGAAATGTTGGTAGGGTTGGTTGATCTCAATAGCATTGTACACACATGATTAGATCGTTGAACTCCTCCAACATTTTTCAATTAGACTATCGAATTTGTTATCACTGTTTTAAAGAGTGGTCATCTTTTTATTGGGCGTATTTGGTACCTTGTGTACACGTGAGAGGTTAAGATGGCTATAAAACCAGGTTTAATCCACCGTTTTCGACAAAAAGAAATGCCTGTACAAAGTCAGGAATATGACAGTTGTTTCCTTTTGTTTGAGGTGTTTGAGCTTTTTATTTTGCAATTTGATAAAGAAAGTTCCGTTTTGAATTTTCCTTGGCGTTTGGTTTATTTGTTTATTTAAGCTTTTGTACGATTTGCGACTGGAAAACACATCTGGCGTCATTGGAGATACAGACATGTTGTATCGGTTAAACAATTTTAATAGCGTACTGTAAAACTTAATGTGTTAATTGTATCCCGTCTTTCTCGTAATCCTGTTGTAGCAATCTTTGTGTTAAGATCCAAATCTGTTTGTTTAATGTAAACATCCAACTTGTGATGTAAAAATTAATATCATAGTTATAGTAAACGCCCTACAATAAGACATGAGAGATTATGTAATTGCAAATCGGGAATCTATATATCGTAAAAGTGCTATCGTTAAGATTAAAACAGATGCTAGTTTTAATTCATCCTTCTCTTTCAATTTCAAACAAATTACTTAAATATGAAGCAGTCCTGATGGGTTTTGAATTCGAATATAAAGTTAACTGAAATATATAAGATGCAAGCAATCGCCAAAACGTGTGAAACTCAGTAAGTCACAAAACAGGGGGACAATATATTTGAACGTACACTTTGTCCTCCAAAAATGTTTCTTTTTGGATCTTTCGCTGTTTATTAAACTGTCATCACTCATAAATTGTTAACAATCTGTCAATAACCATTACAAAACGTTCAAAGTAATGTTTGAAAGCATGGTATTGTTAAAGTTACTGAAATTATGGAAACATGACAGTCTCTCTATTTTTTTAATTTTTGTTTAAAAAACATTAGCAGGTCAAATATTTTGAGCTAGCTTTGGGTAACTACAAGCATTCATTTGTAATGTATGATTTGAATTCGCTTTTTTCAAAATCTAAAGGACTATGGGTTATCTCATTATTCGTACCCCAAAATGAAAACAACGTGACGTCATTGGTTGATTTTTAATCGTTTTGAACGTTGTAAGCCGATCAAAGATCTTTGGTGTACGCTTTTTAAACATATTACCCAGAGTGCATTAGATTTTCAAGCGCCGAATTCGTGTTGTGTACTTGTGATTTTGCTTAATATGTATCGTTATATGAAAGTGGTGCATTTCTAGTAGTAATGATATTGTATACAAATAACAGGACTTTTGGAGAGATATAGGTAAAAAATTAGAACAAAAATACCGAACTCCAAGGTAAATTCAAATGGATTCCAACTTCCTAATAGCACCTATATATTAAATGCATTTTGGGGTAAAATAATTTTTGAAAAAAAATTGGGACATTTTGGCAGTCATTTCACTCTTCTGAAATTCGCGAAATTTTCAAAATCCTCAAGCACAAGTAAAAGACAACTTCAGAAAATACTACTAGTACCAATAGAAAAAAAATCGTATATTGATGCTTCATAGTTTTATAAACTTTTAGATTTTTAAAATTAAATGACTGAAACGATGTCCTAATATTCTTTTTTTTTCTTTCACCTTGATACACTATTAAGACCTTCACACGTTATTTATATCTATTGTTTCTTCTTTGCAGGAGATAGCCTGTCGCATCCTGGCGACCAAAACCACAACGGTATGATGTTTTCCACCACAGACAGAGATAACGATAGATCTACAGGCGACTGTGCAACAAAGTATAAGGGAGCATGGTGGTACAATGCATGTCATATGGCTAATTTGAATGGAGAATATTTAGGAGGACAGTACTCCACTGGAGCCAATGGGATCGTATGGTGGAAATGGAAAGGATATCAGTATTCACTGAAGTCTACTAAAATTATGATTAAACGACATTAAGAAACGTTTTATGAGCTTCAAATTTATATATTCGAAAGAAAAAAATGAAGTTTCTAAAAGTGGTCAATGCACAAATTTTCAAAAGAAGTGCAAACAGTTAAGCAGATTCCTTGGGTCGGTTTAAAAAAAAACTTACAACTAAGATTGGTCGTAAGTCATGAAGAATTCACTATACTAACGATGAACCTTAGTGGTAAGCTTTTTTAGTGAAACCGATTCCTTGTGTAGGTATTAGTTTCAAGTTGAAATTACATTACCGTTTTTGCTACCGGAACTGAAAGGTTTCAACCAGTTTTATGAGTTGTGAATATATTTCATAAATTCAAAGAAATTCAAAACAGTGCATTTACAGTATATGTTAATAACACTTCAATATTTATTTCAAATACTAGAACAACAGAAAAAGTGCAAAGCCATCTTATTACTTTATGGACGAAGTGTCATATGATGAAATTCTGATAAATTCAGTTCAGAATTGAAATACTTTCATATAAGTAATTAAATTTGTCAGGAATAGTTATTATTTGTTATTAAATGATCTCACATAGCCTGAAATATTTCAAAAATTAGAAATCGAAGACCGCAAAAATAATCCTTTATGAGTTAAAACACAGACACGTCATATCGGTCATTGATATCATAACTCTATAGTGTATGACAATAACTAAAGCAGCCTGACACAAAGCAATATTGAAAGTATAAATTAAAGACATTTAATTTCGAAGTAGTTCTCTAGGATTTTACGCTAGAGAATATAAGTACAATATGATACAAATAGTTCCAGGTTACTGATATATAATATATAATCCATATCTTTCTGATATCAAAATTAATCAAAAGTCATATCAAAAGTAGGAAATAGTGTTGTGTTAGTGTTCCCCATCTTCAGTTTTCAATGTAACATTTCTGCACTGTTGTTTGTATTTAATGTTTTTTGGGCTTTTTTTCCCTGTTGGATTCTCGATGTTTTTCAAACATTGCAGCTCCGAAAGTTACCGATGTCAATCAGAAAGCAAAACAAAAGGCTCAATACATTTATTCGACATTATTGTGAAAAATTAATTATACATTTCATTCATCTGAAATAAACGGAAATATATATAATAAATGTGTTTGATCAATGTCAGAATGCTCACAAAGAAATACTCAAGACCAGACGATATGATAAACTTTATTATACATCCTCATTGTAATATTTTCAGACTCGCTGAAAAGACGGATCCTTTAAATATTTCTGTGTACATAAAGCAACGTGTAATAATTGTTCTCTTCACCATACATCAAACGTTCTGTTTTAATTGACATATATTATATAATTCTTCAGGAGTTTCAACTTAAACTAATTTACGAATTGAATACTTCTTTTGTATAACTGTATTAGGTTGTAAAGGCATTGACCGAAGCATATTCTGTGTGCGCACAAAAACTGCTTTCACAACACTTAAATTTATTAAAAGAAGCATTCAATTCATTTAATTATATATTTATACACCACTACCATGAAATTGTTCTCCTTACTATAAATTAAATGTTCTGTTTTAATTGACATATATTATATAATTCTTCAGAAGTTAAAACTTAAACTAATTTACGAATTGAATGCTTCTTTTTATGATTTTATTGGGTTGTAAAGGCATTGACCGAAGCAGATTTTGTGTGCGAACGATCAACGCTTTCACAGCACTAAAAATTTATTAAAAGAAGCATTACATTCATTTAATTATATTTTTATACACTACAACCATAAAATTAAACCCTTAATTTATTTTTCAGTGCATTTTTTAAACATTGTCACGCAAAGCACGTGCAGTCACAGCTAATGTATTTTATAAGGAAATAAAATTTGATAATAGTCAAGTAACATTAACTACACAATTTCCTATTTAATGCACCCACCTAACATACGACTAAATCATATACCATTCGAAAGCATATCATCTGTAATATCTTTTGTGTTCGGTCGTCACATATTCATACGATGCAATTTTTGTCAAATTGCAATAAAAGGTCAACGACGGACAATTTCTTATTTTACAAGATGTCAGCATTTTTGCATATTCTTTTTTTAAAAAATAAAATTCTGTATGGAAAGAACAGACTGTCAATTATCAAACGCACTTTGAAATATTGATGACGTATTTCTAATTGATAGCGCCTTTTTCAAGAAATTTCATTGAAAATGACAGAAATGAGTGAACACGAAAATATTTATCTGTGATTTAAATGGTTATCAACAAACACCAAATAACATTTTCATTTAGTGCTAATGAAGTTTTTGGCTTATTACTGCAATCACGCTTCTTGCTAATTGCACAACCAATCATAACAACATATACATCAGAAACTCTCCAAGGCGAATGTTTTGAAAGCCCGGAATGTATAAGAAACGAAACAGTTGACGAGCTATATGACAAACAAATACCTTAAAAATAGTCAAAAGTTAAATCACAAAAATACTGAACTCCGAGGAAAATTCAAAAAGGAAAGTCCCAAATCAAATGGCAAAATCAAAAGTTCAAACACATCAAACGAATGGATAACAACTGTCATATTCCTGACTTGGTACAGGCATTTTCTTATATAGAAAATGGTGGATTGAACCTGGTTATTTCAAATCCATCTAAGGACAACTTTGCCTGAAGGAGTTGAAACCTCAAAATACACCATCTGCAAAAAGATTGCTTTTTTTGCTGTTTTACGTAAAAATGAATTTTATTTATTTGATATAAGGTTAAAGAAACACAGTTAAAAAATGCAAACATTTTTGAAGGGAATAATACAAGCAGGATTCTTGGTTTTTATAGGCATTTAGGGAGCTTGACTTTGATATTTGAATATGTTATTCAGTTGCCAGCCTGTTATTTCTTGTTATTTGTTTGTTATTTTATGATTATCATGAAGAGAAATAAAGGACATTGTATAGATATCTAGCTAGCCAACAAAAAATTAAAAAGAAATGATAATTACGTAGTTATTTACTATATTAATGGAATATTTCTCTTACAAACATTAGAAAAAATGATTTCTTGGTTTGCTTCATCTGCACTAACGTGTCCTTTGTAGAAAAACAGTAGTCAGCATTTCTGCCCTGACATGAATTATGACTGATATGGTTATAATTATAAATTAAACTGCATTTTTACAAATACTACGGAGTTTCAACCCTCAGGAGTAGATAACCGTAGCTGTATTTGACAAAATCTTTCAAAAGGTTAGGTACTCAATGCTCTTCAACGTCGTGCTTTTTTTGGCCTTTTAAACTGTTTCGATTCGAGTGTCACTAATGAACCTTGTTGAAAAGAAACGCGCGTCTCAGTTACAACATTTTAAGTCAGCCTGGTATCTATGAGGACTTTATTTACATTAACTTACAATCTATTTCTTTTGATTTGAAAATTCTAACAATTCGCAATAATTATTGTTGTAAATAGACTTCCTAAATAGTTAAATTTTGTTAAAAACGTAGAATAAAAAGCTATAAAGAAAAATAAATACTTGATATGTGTCACAAAAACAATTCAATCAATAATCACCAAGAATGGTTTGTAAAAGCAGGCAACCTCTAACAAATTATAGCACTTACAATGCTGCGTTAAGCTCAAATATTGTTGACCTGGCAGCATTTTTTTTTTTGCGATTTTCACACATTTTTTAATACTAAAAATTAACGAAGTAAATTCTATTGCGTTCATTTTCGAATCACAAAAGTCACGTAAAACTGGTTACTAAAATTAGTAGATTAAAAGTATTGTCTTTTCCAAAACTAAAACAGGAAGAAAACCACATAAACTTTATCCAATCAATAAGTTACAAGAATAGGTAAAATCTTTTTTTTCTCACTTTCCAATGCTTTGCATGATATAATCTGTTTGTTTGGTTTTCTTAAGGTGCGAAGATCTAATGACTGCAATAAGACATAGTGTCTTATATTATTTGACGTTAAAACATACAAAAAAGTATGTTTAAATATGAGATAAAGAAGCGTTAAAAATGCGATAACATACAACCAGGACTGTAATGGTGAATTTGAATTGCTTGCTATTTCACTCTATTTGATTGTATTGATCATGAATAAAATCCCTTCATGTACAATATCCAAATGTGCACTTTAAAACTTTGAACTTCACTAAAATTTAACAAGCAATGTAAGAGGAGAATTGCTCATTACAAAGTTTTAAGACTAATAGATGAACATATGAATGGAACAAATGGGCGAAGGGACAAGATGAATACTACATTTCCGTTAAACACACATATTACACTATGGACAAACGTAGGACAGACAAACCACAGTTCTCCAAACACTAAATGTACGAACACTACCTTAAACCATTGATGATTGAAGTTGGCCAGGAAGAAAAACATGAAGACTTCAAACTGCAATTTGGTAAACTGTTTGAACCATTGCTATTGTGATACCCGAAAGCCTACTAAATAAGCACAGTAAAATGTCTACCACTTTCAACTTCGTAAAAACATATTTCTATTATAAAAACGTTGTATATTCCTAACTCACCTTTATTACCTCTCTTTTTAGCTTTGGTAAATTATTTTCTCTTGATAGTAAAAACAATGGATCTGTTATCGTAACAATGAAAAGCAAAATGATCAACTTATGCAGATAGTGGTTTTAAGGGCAACTGCAAAAGCTTCATACGAAGGCTGATTCCTGACCAATAAAATATCAAAATTATTGCAGTTTTAAATGACGAAAAAAATTTCCATCACCTACATGTATAACCGATAAATTTATTTTAATTTTGACATATAAATATTGATAAATAAAGACATATTTTTCCTTTCAGCGCAATTTTATCATTTTTGCAGGATTTTTAAAAATTGTAATTTTCTGTAACTATTGTGCAATTAACATTTCAGTTTGCACTTGATTGAGAATTCAGTTATTCTGCTCAGTTATTTTCATATGATTTTTAGAAAACAAAAATCATACGAGATCCAGCAAACACCATTTTATTTCATTTTTGCAAAATCTAGGAATGTTCATTCTTGACTATTGACATTGATGTCACAAAAATTGTACCGTACGAATTATTGACGACCGGACAAAACAGAAAGTACGGATAATAAGCT